ACACACACACACACACACACACCAGAGGTTTCATTTTCTAAACTTGTCTCATTGTAAATCAGGTAAATATGAAGATCAGTTGATAAAATCCTTGATTAAATAGGAAAGAATCAACGCTGACGACTCAGGTTGATGATCACCATCAACATCCAGCTGCAATATTTGGACGACACAACGTTGGACATGTCAACTGAAGAAGTAATACTGATGAGGACTGGAGTGTGTAGACAATGAGACACACACACACACACACACACACACACAGCTTGAGAGATGTGTTGGCATGTTTCTTCCTCGTTTCTCTTCGCCTGCCTCCAGGATCCAGCTTATTATACCAACAGGTCGATGTGTGGAGAGTTATTACACATCCCCGGCCTCCGCTCAGCTTTCATCTGCAGCCAACATTCCTCCCGTCCCTGACTTCACCTCTGCACCGGGCACACCCTCCTCTCTGTGTCAGTGCTGTTATTTAGTGACACAATCTTGCTAAGTCGTCAAATTTACCTCTTCTCTCTCTCTCTCTCTCTCTCTCTCTCTCTCTCTACCCCCCCTCACTCAGGCTGAAGGTGAAGCAGTCAGTGTGCAGGGCGGGAGAGAGAGAGAGAGAGAGAGAGAGAGGTGCAACATGGGAGCACATCATCACGCTCTTAATACTCAAGGGTTGTTTAGGCCCGAGAGGTTCTCAGACAGTTTAGTTGTGGGAGATTTTCTCAGACCGAAATAAAAGATACTTCAATAATTATTGTGATTATGAACTAACTTTGAAACTAAACTAATTTTATTGCCCATTGAAAACTAAGGTCAGAGTTTTATTCTAAATGTTGTGAAGCCACAGATGTATGAACGTCTGTGACTCAGCAACACAGGAGAACCACTGCACTGACTTGTGGGCCTGCAGGGAGGCATGGGGGGGGGGGGGGGGGGGGGGGGGGGGGGGGGGGCAGGTCGGTTTACAGCTTCAGGGAGAAACACAGAGGATGAGCGACACATGGAGGCAGATACAATCAGTCCCAGTCCCACAGAAATACCAGAACCAGCAGCGAATCAAACCCACTGACAAACACCGAACCGTGTGACCAGCGTCCCCACGTCCTCTGAAGACGAGGGGCGTCCCAGCAGCGCGACTGGACTGTGGACGAATGTGTCCGTCCACCCAACGAGCAGCCCAGGCCCCACCAGGTGGATCCCTCCCGTCCCAACATTTCCCATGATACATTGCGCCTCAGAGACAAACTATTTTTTCAAAGATGTAATGGCGGCAGCGAGCGAGGCAGAGACGTTTCCTTCATTTTTAAGATAAGATAAGATAAGATAAGGTAATCCTTTATTTCTCGTCTCGGTTTGGTCGACTCAGTCTTCACAGCAACATCGACTCCATCCTTCGTTAGCGGCCGCGTGGACCAGAGCCTCCATGCAGAGCAGTCATTCGTCCCCCCCCAGCAGAGACGTCTCCCTCCACACAGGGACTTTATCATATTTCAGTCACTCATGGAGCGTCTGTCCTGCCAGAGTCTCCACCACGAGCTTTCCGAACATTTTCCCTTTTACACCAAATCACACGACACATCTGGGTGAAGCACATCGATCCCTGCGATATGTTGTTCGGTGACGGAGGGAACGAGAGAAGAGGTTTCATTTGTCATGGACAGCTGTCAATCATGTCACGTGTGATTGACTCCCTGTCACCAGGAGCGACCTTTAGGAAGATAAACTCCTTTTTTTAAGAATGAAGTGCACGAGAAGTCGTCTCGATGACAGTGGCACAGATCACACGCTGACATATGAATATGAGTGTGCACATGAAAGAGCCCTGTGCCTGCATGTGCCTCTTATCCTCATCCTGCAAGGTGAGGTGAGGCGAGCGGTGAGGTAGAAGCTGCCTGTGTGCTTTCTCCACTAAGACTGTAATTATGGCGTGCCATTATGGAGCGCAGAACAAAGGCGAGCCCTGCAGCCCTGCAGCAGCAGCAGAGCAGGGGATGTACTGCTGCCTCTATTCACACCGCAGTTAATAACAATACTCCTGAACGCACTGCAGACAGCGCGGCGTCAATCCTCCCACGTGTGTCTCCTTGCGTGTGTGTGTGTGTGTGAGAGACACAGAAAGGGAGGGAGAGGAGAGGAGACATGAAAGTTCTCGAAACAAGTTCAGGTCTAAAGACGTCTCCTCTTTATTTCTCACTGATGCTGAAAATCTGGTTTTTGTGTAAAATCATCCAGTTAATTTGAAAGAGAAAATAAATCACGTCCCAGAGATGTTTTTCTGCAGCAAAGGTGTCGAGACCAAGCGAATGTGATGATTTTTGTTCTCGTGGACCAACTTCCACCTGAGAACCGAGGGAACGATTCTCTTTTCCAAAACAAAAGGTCCAATAAACCGACGGGACGTTTTTAATGAGATGTCTTGAGGAGAAAGTCACACTGTCTGACTGGGTTTATCATCGGGCGCCAGGATCCCGCGTTAGTAAACAACGCTTTTATTGGCTTCCACTGAGGCGCTCACTTCTGGTTCGGGGACGATCACACGAACAGTGTGTCCAGTCTGTCCAGTGATACCTTGAGAAGAGGCGACTCAGTGACCGGTGGTCTCAGTGTCCTCAGTCACTGATGAAGAGTCTCCTCGTCTACAAAAGACTTTTTGCGCGAACCCGAGTCTGACGAACAGACAGTCGATAATAACGCTGATCTGACAGTTAAGCTGCTTTCAGGCCTGCACTGATAATCTCCTGACGTCCTCCGGAGGGGCTCCACCTCTGGATGACAGAGAAGCACCGCACCCGCAGAGGACGCCGACAACACGAGCACATCAGCACATCACGTCCCTGCTCAGCCACACATACAGGGACAATGATAATTTGTTCCCATTAGAATGAATGAGGTCGTCATCATCATCATAACAACATAATCCACAGGTTTACGATGCATAGTCCGCTGACATGTTTAGATTGGCTGCTACACCCGACTGACGGGTGAGATGTCAGCTGATCGTGTTCAGGTGCCAAAATAAGTAGTGTCTCTCAAATGATTTCATTCTACAAGTGCAGAAGAAGAATGAAGAGAAGTTCAACCTGGTTTTTTAATCTGAATAATGCAGATTTATTTTCAGAGGCTGCGTTTGAAGACCCAGAGGGTCCGGTAGGAGGGCCGACCCCTCTGGGTCTAATCTTACGTCCGATGCTTAAAGTCTCTGGC